GATGTTAATTGGACCCTAAAGAAGCTCCTATTCAAAAAACTGACGATTTGGACGCGACCGAGAGTCATGGCCGATTTTTGAAAATGCAAAAAAAAATCGTGACCTTGAAATACTCGAGCACGTCAGATTAAGATACAGAGGGTTCAGTTTGATGTCCTGGACGTGCTGACCCATAATCTGACGATTATGTGGAGGGATTTCATTAATCTGTCGGTTTGAAAAATTTTTTTTCCATTAATCTTGTACAGACTGTATGTTCGAAATCCAAAAAACATGTTTTCGATGTATTTTTGCCTCCTGATTATGAATATGACAACAGAAATTGGCGCTCGGCCATATCGTCGCCGCTATTTTGAAAAAACATTCTAAAAACTTGATTTTTTAAAATTTTTCTGCATTTATTTTGAAAGATACAAATGTGCTGAAAAATGGTTGAACAAAAAATGCAGAGATGCCACACGGAAAAAATGAAATGCTTGAATCTACTATTCAAATAATAAGATAATGTTCCAACGAACTTTTGTAGTTGATTTTACTATCCAAATAGTAGCTTCAACAAAGTAGATAGTGCAGCTTACTATGTTAATAGTAAAACCAACTAAAAAACGTTCGTTGGCGCATATCTTACTATTTAGATGGTAGATTCAACAATTTCGTTTTTTCCGTGCAGGAAATTCTGGGAAGATGCATGTATATACAAATTATATACACCGTTCTCATATTTGTGGTTGAAACCATATACATTAAGAACAAGTTAAAATAACCGATACATAAGTAACCTAGAAGTCCCTTAGTCTTCATCGTCAGTGGTAAATTCATCATCTTCGTATTCAAAGATCGATTCGATTTCGAAAGGAAGAGACGCGCAGAGCGGGAAGTACACAGTTCTCAACCGCTGCGCGCACCGCACTTTATTAATGATTTTGGCCACTTCGGCTTGTGTAAATCGTCAGATTATATTATTCCCGTGATCCTTGATTAATTTCCTTCAAAATAAAAAAAAATTTAACCGCGCTCGAGAAAATCCATGTCACGTTTTTTTTT